TCGTAAATTTATATAAATTTACGCGAAAGTGAACTTATCATATTCGGTTGATATATTTTTATTTGTTTACGTGTAGTTGTGCGAATCGAACCCTATAACTGTTATATGTGCAACTTGCTAGTAGTATTTTGGGTAGCGTTAATAGTCCTAATATAGAAATGCAAAATAACCATCTATCCACTATTAGATTATCATACATTTATCACACTTTTTAATTTGCTCGGGGATCCCCTTATTATCCTGTATTGTCATCAATTATTAGGCCTTTTTTCCATAATTCTTGTACGTACTTTCTTTTTTTCTTCTTAATATTTTTGACCTTTAGCTAGCTCTATTTCTCTCTATTCACTTATATATTTATTTATTTATTAGATACCGGGAATCGGAGTATTATTTCATTTCATTTATATTTTATTTCGTGATATTTATCACGCGGGTACTTTATAAATATGGGCCCCCCATTTATTTGGGTATTATATTACATTTTCGTAACATTCATTTCATTTTGTTGGTACATAACTTTTTATCGTAATTATATCAAGGTAAAAGTGTACCTTGGGTTGTGCGCACAACCTTGAGGTCTACGTTTAAGTCATTAAAAGGACTCCAACAATTGTCACAGAGGAAAACTAAGTTTGCACCATGATCCAACGAAGGATGTGACCTCAATGTACCATTAATATGGGTAACAAATTTAAGACTTCTCTGGTCCCTAACAGTACTAATATGAGTAAACTCAGTTACATCACTTTTACTGAAGGCGTTGTTCCCTAGTACCCGTTACTCCGATTTCATCGTCCAATCACGGTAACGTACCCTGCTCGAGTACTATACGCTATACCAGTGTTGAACGTTCCCATATCTCTCCATTACTTATTGGTCAATGTCATATTTTTATTTATTTTTATTATTGCCATAAATATTTATTCCTTCTTTATTTCTTCATTACCTTGTTCTTTATTTATATACCTTCGTGCCCCACTTCTATATACTAACTTGCATCATTCTCACACATTTGAAGTCGCACAGTTTAAGTATCATCAATATTTGGGTGATCAGTCCAATATTGACAAAACTTAGTAACTAAATCATTCGTATTTACACGTTCGAACATTCTTCCATTCCTCATACCAATTACATGCCTTCTAATTTTTGTACAAATGAGATAACATTCTTATCAATAAATTTTCTTTGTCGGTGTTTAACTTTTTTTTTTGAACCATTATTATTAAAACCTCTCTTAACTACTTTATTCCTGTTTACACTGTTATTTATTTATTATTTTCATCTCTGTAACAATACTATTATCATTTACTCATTTATTTTCCTATACTTATTATTTTTATCGCTATTACAATGTTGTTATGATTTATCCTACACCTGTTAATGTGTTGCATGTTGTCAGTTTAAATTTATCATCTATGTTACCATGTTTTTTTTTAGGATACGCTCATTGCATAACATTTTATAATATCATATTTTTAGAAACATCAGTATCATTCGTAAGAAATGGTTAGCAGACCTTTTATATTCACTGTGTAAAGATTGACTCTTGTTATACGAGTATTTACCTACCTACCTACCTAGTTTCTTGTCTTTCAAAAGAAATAAAAGTGTTATTTTAGCCAGAAAATATGAAAAATATAATTGATAATAAACGTTAAAATAATCGCATCGTATGATCGTGCCTAATGTCAACTTAACGTGTACAATTTGTTACTACATAAGTAGTAGTACTCATATAAATGAGTGCGAGTAAAAAAAATGTACCTTAAACTAATATTTTTAATTTCCTATTTATTCAGAAGTCCACATGGTTACATCGTTAAAAGCTATATCGCTTTTATACAGATCGAAAAATATTACTGAAAGTATGTTATTTATTATGTCGTGTATACAGAATAATTGAAAATCACATTATAAGAGTTATCACCTTTACACAATGATACAATAATTTATTCAAACATTTAAAAGGAAGTTTTTTATATTTTACATAAGTTATTATATAAATTTAAGATTTAATGCCTTTAAAAAAAATTAAAACTTATAATGATAGTGAAATGTTTCTAACCCTTTAAAATTTGGATTCGAGAAAAAAAATCAACGAAATGTATCACAGTGTTATTTTAAATCAAGTGCGTAAAATTGGAATCTATTATTTTATTATTTCATTAATTGTTTGGCAGGACACAGTAAAAAAATAATACAAAACTATAACTTCATAAATGAGAATATAAAGTCTGGTCTGGCGCCTTAATAGAAGCGCCACATAAGTGCTTAAAATTCAACTTAATTTTTAATACTGTATTATAATTGTTTTTTTTTTTGTAGGTAATAAAATATTTGATAATAAAGTATATTGTGAATAATCTGATAACTAATTTCAACTTAATTATATGTAAAATACAGAATATTTAATATCTAACTTTAAAAACATAATAGCAAAAAAAAACAATCTTAAATTGTTAAATAAAGTTTGAAATAGAATTAAAATCACATAGGTGCGAAGTTACCTCATAATTTGTTCTTTTCGGCTCAATTTTTTCTATCTTCTTGTCGGTTAAGGCTTGCAGGAAGTTTCTTCTATCTTAAATTTGTGGTCTCACCATCTAATTCGTTTAATCTTCATGTAATATTTGAAGCTGTCATAATATTTGTTTCTGAAGTTGATCGTTCCCGTTTTTTTTCCGTAACATTTTTCTTCTTTTTCTAATAGGTTTTATTAGCATATCTCCTTAAAGAAATAATAACCTTGCCGCCTCTTCTTATGTCTCCGTTTCGGCTTACTTGTCACATCCGGTAGTATCAATTCAATAGTTGAAAATTGTTCCTTAAGTTTTATATTTATTTTTCCATGTTTCTTTAACTATTTGTGCAGGCCGCGGCGGTGCGCGTGCCTTGTCGTCGCGCACCGCCTGGCAGGGTCGCCATGTAATGAACGGTTGGTAAATGAAAGGAAGACGTGTTTCTCTACTCAAGATTTTAATTATACTGTCACTTAACCTAAGAGTAAGTACATTTATTAACATATGCTAGTAGGGTGGAGGCACATACACTACAGTTCCGTCATAGTCCTTTGTGCTAAAAATGAGGAAAAAATCTGCATTTTGATTCTTAACCGTGAAAAGATGTAAATGTCTATGGGATAACGCGTCCATATACTTATACTATGGCAATATTCCCCTCAATTCAATTTTTTACTAAAATACGTAAGGAAACAGAAAAGAGCTTTTTGTCGAAAACAGTTAACTCAGCCAAGGATTTGCAAGTAAGAAATCGCACTCTGTGTTGGATTTTAGCCAAAAACCTAGTTATTGATGTCACGGATGTAAGACACAACCTGGCTTGCCTGGTTTTGATGAAGTTTACTTGTGGAGTCACCAGGGTGGTCTTTAGATATAATTGTACCGGTAGGTGGCGCTGTTGTCGAGCTCTAGAAATCGCCCATGGGATGTCGGGGGATCGCTGGTTGTTTTAAATAATTAAAAGCATTATAATACAATTTTATTAATTAAAAAGCAACCACGTCACATCCGATTCGGAAAATGAAAAATGTTTTTAATTTTCAAGTCTTAAAAAACTGTATTAAATTTCGTGCAAACTATACTTTTAAGCTTGGTGATGTTAAGTTAGAAATAACTCACTCTAATGGCCTGTACAAAAAGCAAATTTCCCCCGCGGCCATTTTGCATTTTGCAAAATTTTGCTAACTTCCAACTAATTTATCTTTTTGTTTCACGCCCGAATGACTGTGAAACTCCAATCGAGCAGTGTTAGAACTTTTCTCTATAGAATATTTAGATTTAAATCGTTTTGTATTATCCAGTGAACATAAATAAAATATTTTCTAGGCTTTTAATATATTTACGACGTATATTTTACAAGTCTTTTAAAGGTGGGTAAATACATGGGATTTAGGTGGCTCAGGACCGTGTTTGTGATATTCCTTGGGGAAGACCTGTGCTAAGCTGTGAACTTGTGAAGGGCTGTAATGATGGTGATGCACGACATGGACATCTGCAATTAGCTTCAAACAAAAACAGCTACAGATGATTTATCACCTCTGAGGACTAAGATGAAACACCTAACCCTCTGTAACTATACCGGCTCTCTGCAGCCTTCAGACTCAGACGCAGCAGAGCACGTGCTGCTGCTTGGCGGCTTAAAGAGAAGGAGGGAAACGAAGTCCTAATACTTAGTGAAATAATGGAGCAAATACGAGTCTGAGAGATAATGTTTGTGTCCTTTGCTGTGAAGACTATCGGACCATGGTCTCCACAAGTGATAAGATTTCTAAAGGAAGGTAATCCGTGAATGATCTTCGCTATTGAAGACAAGAGAGCTATTTCTTTTTTCGCCCATAGATTAAGCCCAAGACATGCAGCGAGGTAATGCTACTAGGGTTTATACATTTACTTAAATGCTTTAATGTACTCTACATTAGCAGTACTAGAGTGGTTTAGTGTTGCTGGAAACAAAAAATGCGATCTATCTGATTTCAGTATATGGGCAAGAATCTCAAGGTACTAAAACTTACCAAAGCGAGTAATAAGTACGTATCACTAAAAGCTTACTCGTTTCTCTAACTTCTTAAAACCATATCAAAATGCAAAATGACCGTTATTTAGAATGGTGGGCGTGCAGCCGTATATTTTTATTACATCACGTGAATCGACCTTTTAAGTAAATGATTTTTTTTAAAAGACGTCCCCCACACAAGAATTTTCTCTTCTAGGATATGTATCGTTGAGGCATTTAACACACATAAATTTCACAAATACTTGTTCCGTGCGGTATGAGAACCTGCGGCCCCCAGCGCTGTAACTAATTGCTAAAACACTGCGCCACGGAGCCGTCAAATCTCTTTAATATGTTTTCGACGTCAGCAAATAATTAAAAAAAACCGTACCGTTTGAATTACTCGTAGTTTTTCTGGCGAAATGTAAAACCACCAAAAAAAACATCAAATAACATACTAGTAAAATCAAAAGTATTACAAAATGTATGAACATGACTTACTTCATTTAACTAAAAGGCTTGAACGTAACGTATTTACGGCATGTATTGAAAGCATGCAATAATCTATCACCTCATTCCGTCCCGCGAGTGTCGTAAGTGATTAAATTATGTAGGGATAGGAAACGAACCGAAGCGAATTGCTGTTTTGAAATAGGTAATATCTGCCTGAAGTAGGTTTGCCAATTTGTACATTAAATATAATATTTTCAAGGCTGTTACCTGTAAAAATATAATTTAGAGGTAACTAACTAATAAAAAAATAGTTACGTTATTTTTACGATTCGCTAATTAAGCCAACGGTCTTATACCATACAGCCTAACTAATTTTGTCATATTGAGAAGTTTTTGAGAGGTCGTGACTACAGGAAGGAGAAGAAAGGCTCCGAAGCGCGTAAAAAACATGAGCTTTTCATCACCATTAAAGCCCTTGTTACAACCTTTCCACTAGTAGTCACATGCGTGGATAAAATTGTACTAATTTTACGAATTAAACCCATTTTAACCCATTGTATAAGTGATAAAGCGGCCAGTCTTAACAGAGGTCTGCGTAGGACATAAATAAAGTGCACGAGTGTATTTTCGCTCACGTTAAGTCTTTAGGTGACCCGACACGACCGAGGAGAGATTAAGCACAGGACCAACGGCTCAACGCGCATTCCAAGGTAAAGGGGCGAAACACCGCCAATTTCCTGACTCAGGGCTACCACTGAGCCTGAACTGAACTGAAAAAAACCCAGTAGCTGGTTTGGCCCGCCGCGGGATTCGAACCCGTATCTTTATGATCAGCAACCACATTCACGACCGCAAGACCAAAGATTCAGTGGAATATTAGATATAAAATTGGGTTCGCAACCCTAGCAAGGTATTTAACGCTTCGTATTTCAATGTTGATTCGGTGGCCCTTTAATACCTACGGGGAAGTAATGGAAGAGTGTTGCAATCGTTTTTTATACGTGGCTTTTACGAAAACCTTAATGAAGATTCATCATCATTGTCCCATTAACACGTTACATCGTACGTGTTTCATGGAGTCGTGCTGCGGGATATTAAAGCTACAACACGAATTATCAAGCTTATTATTACACGAAAAAAATTCAAAGAAACTTATTTTATATAAATTAATCATATGATAATGGATGCAGAATACTTCAGTCGAAATAGTAAAAGTTCACTCTAGTCTGGTGTGTATTTTATTCACAAAATGCTGATGTGTTACATCCCGAAGTTTTTAGGAGATTTTGCAGACAGCTTATACCTATGCGCAGATATTTAATACACAAAATCGTACGACTTTTAAGTATCTACTTGAGACCATTAATCTCTTTTCCTCCTTTCATTTACGGTCACTGATATACTTAAAGTATGTCGTACTTTTAGTACATAAGTCGTTTATCTTTTCTTAATTTAGTGCTACTTAAGCGATAATATTTCTCTTATTTCATTAATTTTACGTGTCGTCTGGAAGAGATCGCTATGTCGCAATAAGACCACCTTTTGTTTTTCCCTCAATAGTTGTTTGGTTTCGTTATACTGTTATTATTAACAGTGGTAGAGCCACGCGGCAGCTTTGCTGTTGCACGTATGGGCCGGCTCAAACCGGGGTGGTACCACGACCTCACAGTATACCGGCGTGAAGTGGAAGCTCTGCTTCCGCGTTTCGTCTGGTGAGTGCAGGTGGCCGGAGGCCCAAATCCCCCCCCCCCCATCAACATGGTAGCGGAATTAAATAATGATCGACTACCCCAGGAGGGTACCAGCACCCCTGGAGAATCCCTCGCTGAGCATCCACGACCAGTTTCCCCACTTCTGAGCGTGGGTGCTCAGGCTGCCCCGCGTATTCTGTAGGGGCAAAATTTCGCTCAAGACTACAACTGCTCGGAGCAAACGGAGCAACAAGACCAAGGCGACCCCTGCCACGCTGTGCGTGAATTTCTGCAATATCAGGGGACTTCACTCTAACCTAAACGCCGTCCACTACCATCTCGAGACGGCGAGGCCGGCTCTGCTCTTTCTGACCGAGATGCAGGTATCCTCTCCGGCTGATGTCTCGTATCTCTCCTACCCGGGGTACAAATTGGAACACTCCTTTGTGCCTCGGGCTGGAGTTTGCGTTTACGTCAGAGAGGACATCTGCTCTCGACGCCTCGGCAGACTTGAAGGTTCGGACCTGTCCATCCTTTGGCTACGCGTAGACAGCGACGACCATCCGCGCGTCTACGGGTGCCTCTATAGGTCCCATAGCGGTAATGCCGAAACAGACCGACTATTCGACCACGTCCAAATAGCTGCAGATTCGTTGCTATAGCAGATCCCCTCCGCAGAGATCGTGATCCTCGGCGACTTTAACGCCCATCACGCCGAATGGCTTGGTTCACGTTTAACCGATCATGCGAGGAGATCTGTTCATGATTTTGCCTTGGCATATGGTCTGACACAACTGGTTACTTCGCCTACGCGGATTCCAGATGTGGAGGATCATGCACCTTCCCTGTTGGACCTTCTGCTGACCTCTCACCCGGACGGATATCAGATTTCCGTCGACGCCCCTTTAGGCTCCTCGGACCATTGTCTGGTCCGGAGTGTGGTGCCACTCACGCTGAAATCGCGGTTGCATTCTGCAGGCTGCCGCCGTGTTTGGCACTATAGGTCAGCCGATTGGGATGGAATGCGGTCTTTCTTTGCATCCTACCCTTGGGGGCGGGTTTGCTTCTCGCCGGATGATCCCAACGTTGTTGCGGATTCTGTTGCTGATGTGATACTTCAGGGTATGGAACTTTTTATTCCTTCCACTGTGGTGCCCATTGGAGGCAAGTCTCAGCAATGGTTTGGTCGCTCCTGTAAAATAGCATCATGCTATAGGCAGGAGTGCTACCAAGCCTGGGCTGATGCATCAGCGTCCCGGGCTGCGCTCTAAAAAAGAAGTATAATTCCGCCTCTAGGTCCTTCAAAAGAGTCATTGCCAAGGCAAAGTCAGAGCACATAGGCAGAATTGGCGAGAAAATAGTTCGCCTTCCTTCTGGAACCCGTGCATTCTGGTCTCTCGCCAAGGCTGTCCAGGGGAATTTCTGTCAGCCATCTCTTCCATCTCTGCACAGGGAAGACGACTCACTGGCCCATACCGCAAAGGAGAAAGCCGATCTTCTAGGCTCTTTCTTTGCGTCTAACTCGACTCTCGATGACGGGGGGAGTACTCCGCCGACGATCCCGCGGTGTGAGTGCTCCATGCCGGAAGTGCACTTTACACAGCGCTTGGTTCGCAAAGCACTCCTCTCCCTGGACATCCACAAGTCGAGTGGGCCTGACGGAATCCCCCCAATTGTGCTGAGGACGTGTGCTTTGATGCTGCTGAACGCGTCTTTTCCGGTACTCCTACTCCCTAGGCGTAGTCCCAAAATCATGGAAGACGGCTTACGTCCACCCGATCCCTAAAAAAAGGCGACCGCTCTGACCCGTCCAACTACCGGCCAATCGCCATCACCTCCTTGTTCTCCAAAACAATGGAGTCCATTGTAAACTGCCAGCTCATGAGGTACCTTGAAGATCACCAGCTGATTAGTGACCGCCAATACGGTTTTCGCCGTGATCGGTCAGCTGGTGATTTTCTGGTCTACCTAACTCACAGATGGGCGGAGGCAGTAGAGTTCAAGGGGGAGGCATTGGCCGTTAGTTTGGACATTGCGAAGGCCTTCGATCGGGTTTGGCACAAAGCGCTTCTTTCGAAGCTCCCTTCCTATGGGCTTCCCGAGAAATTGTGCGATTGGATCATCAGCTTTCTTGCAGATCAGAGCATCAAGGTCGTTGTAGACGGTGCAAGCTCCGATTGCAAGCCTATTAATGCTGGTGTTCCACAGGGCTGCGTGCTATCGCCAACGCTGTTTCTTCTGCATATCAATGACATGTTGCATACCCGTAACATTCATTGCTATGCAGATGACAGCACTGGTGATGCTCTTTACACCGGCCGAGCCAATATTTCTCGGAAAAACGTCTCCGAGTGCCGGGACAAACTTGTGTCTGAAGTCGAGTCTCTGCTGGACAGAGTCTCGGATTGGGGGCGACTAAATGTAGTCCAGTTTAACCCCCAGAAGACACAACGCGCGTTAACTGCTAAAAAGAACCCCTTTGTCGTATCCCCTCAGTTTCAAGGCACTCCCCTTGTTGCCTCAGCCAGTATCGGAATCCTCGGCGTCGACATATCGAGTGACGTGCAGTTTCGTGGTCACTTGGAAGGGAAGGCCAAATTGGCCTCTAAAAAGCTTGGCGTGCTCAGCAGAGCGGGACAGTATTTCATGCCGGCACACCGCCTGCAACTTTACAAGGCGCAGGTTCGGCCGCACATGGAATACTGTTCCCATCTCTGGGCTGGGGCTCCCCAGTACCAGCTTCTTCCACTTGACCGCATCCAGCGCAGAGCGGCTCGAATCGTCGACGACCGAGTGCTTTCCGATCGGCTCGATTCACTGGCGCTGCGAAGAAATGTAGCATCTCTTTGCGTATTTTATCGCATCTATCACGGGGAGTGCTCTGAGGAATTGTTCGGATTAATCCCATCCGCCAAATTTCGTGAACGCACTACACGTCAAACGTCCCGATACCATCCACACCATCTGGATGCTTGGCGGTCCACCACTGTACGTTTCACAAGGAGTTTTCTTCCACGTACAACCTCTCTGTGGAATAGTTTACCACCGGCGATTTTTCCGGACCGATACGACCTGGGGACCTTCAAGAAAAGAGCTTACTCCTTTCTAAAGGGCCGGCAACGCACCCGCAATTCTCCTGGTGTTGCGGTTGATCATGGGCGGCGGTAGTCACTTAACATCAGGTGAGCCGCATGCTCGTTTGCCCCTTCTTCTATATAAAAAAAAACTTATCTTTCCTTGGTGTACACTAAATAGTATTTTATTGCATTGTATTGTATGAAAATGTAACGTAGGAGCTGGTGGAGCCACGTGTTTAAGGCTGCCGAAGTCTTGTTCCCCGGTCAAATCTTAAACCTATTACGCGAGATATTAATCTAAGTGGACTGTATCTACAAATGCTTCTACACTTATATATGCGGTACAATGCACTCGCTCTTCCCTAAAAAACGAACTATTATTTGCCAAATCGATGAAAGGAATCCTGCTTGATTAGGAAAACACAAAATTGGAGCGGGTTAAAACAATTGTATCAAGCAGATTATAATATTGGATATTGACTCACCGGGATGTTTCTTCTACGCGGTCGAGCCCTATAACTGCGACTTCTGAAACTTCTTCTGGAACACTCCGGAGAGAGGCGGTGCGCGACCATATCTCACACGAGGTGAGGCGGGTTCCCTGGAGCTCAATTGCTTCCAGGCTAAAGCGGTTTCTACTAGTGATGTGGTTCTAATGACGAGCGCGGCGGGAAGAGCAGCTCTTTAGGACACTATTATCCTAGGCGGTGTGGTTTCAACGGTGAGCGCGGCGGGAAGAGGCCACGCGTCGGTCGCGCGTGTCTTATATATCCTCGGTTCCGATGATTACGTGATGTTCTAGAATCATCTTCTTTCCCCTCCCACCCCACCACCCCGATGTGTCGATAGGAGGGTACGAATGATATCGTTTTGGAAAGGGATAACCGATTTGGCAGCCTACCGTCAAATAAAATAAATACGAATGGTTTTCCGCGCAACCAGGAGCAACATTACGACGGCAGTCTAGTTTCTGCCAAAACATCCCAAGGAACCTTAACATATAATACACTGTTGACAATAAAAGATTATAAAATATAATTTGACGCCATCTATCGGAGACAAGGTGGTAGCACTCATTTCCTGTCTAGGACTCCGTTTGGACTGGTGCAACCCTGTAGCCTATTTCTGCCGCAAAATGGCAGCGTCTTACTGCCGTGCTCCGGTCTGAAGGGTAAGGAGAACTAATATAATAACAAGCTACGAGGCATTTCATCTTTGTCCTCTAAGGAGATAAGGCATCTCATCATTTCTTTTTTGAATTCAGCTGCAGGTGTCCATCGATTGCAGTAGCTACTTACCATCAGGTGGACTAATAGCTAGTTCGTTGTAATTTTTGATATTAATCTCATGCGACACATAGATTTAATTTTCACGGTTGTAAGCTGTATAAATATTTCACTGCTGAGAGTCTTCTGTACGTAATCTTTCTAGGAATTTTCATTGACGGCTCTTAAGACATCATGTCTGCCTAGTACAAGTGGTCGCAAGCGGGACTGCTGACCGTGTAGTCCTGATAGTCCCGGGTCAAGCCAAAATCAGCCATTGTGTTTGTTTCTATCAAAAACTTCTCAGTAGCAGCCTAGATTCAGAAAGTTGGTGGTGTTTAACGCCAAAAGCAAAATAAGCCGTTGGCACTGCGTGGTCTCTCTGCCGTCGTGAAAAAGTGCACCAGTGCGTACGTACACATTGGTGTACTATAATCCCGTCCTGCTCAGATGGATAGTCTCCGTTAAGAATGGCCGTCGTGACTGAAATTTGCTGTGAAGAATATTATAACATATTATTATTTGCATAATGTAATAAATAACGCCTTCTAAACACACGACAAGAAGTTCATTTTAGCGTATAGCTGAAGGTAACCTAAATTAACTATGACATCTGAACATCGAACACCTCAGCCTTCCGCAACTGTGAGCTTACAAAGCACTCGGGAATACAAAAAAAATAAACTCCATTAAAGCAGTGAAAATCGTTTTATTCAAGAATACAGAGCTTTAGCTAAAGTTTATTCACAACAACAATTTAATAAATAACACATTGTAAACAAAATACTTAATCAAATTTTCTAGGGAACTTTAAGCACGCTCATAAACTGGCGCCAAAGGAACGACCCGTGTCTGTCGGACTTTATTACTACACGTAGACCTGCTATTAGGAATTGCCTGAACGCTTCTTGTTTTTAAAATGTTAATTTTACTATACATCATTTTGTACACCCTTGAGGACTAGGATAGTATCTCGTTACCAGTAAAAAAAACTTCATTTGCGTGCACTATCCCCGTCACCACTAATCCCAACACCACTACACTACGTAACACATCATCGTTTAAAATACGACACGTGTTTTACTTCTAAACGCGGCATAATCAGATGAATCTTGGGAAAGTGCACGCACTTTAAGGAGGGTGGGAGGTTATATATCCGAAGTTTCGAGCACTTTACAGCATCCATAGTCACCGGGGCACTAAGATGTTCGACGTTTCAACGTCGTAGGAAACCACGGTTTCCTAAAGACTAAAATTAATTAAATATAAAATAAGTTTATATAAGTAATAAAATCCGTAAAAACTAATTTTATTTAAAACTATACGAACTTTAGTTCCGCTTTGAAAGCGAATTTAATTAAAATCTCTTAACTTTTAGCGAGTGAATTATTTCATTTATTTTTATTCAACGACCTTTTGTCTCAGACGAAGTGGCGCAGAACTTTATGAAGACTGCACTGTTAATAACGAACTTTATATATACTCAACAACAATCTCTTTAGTCTTCTGGTAGTTTAATTTCATATCGGTAGTAACTTAAGTTATATCTTAAGAATTATGCTTTAAAGGTTTTGCAATCTATATATTAACAAATCAGTGAACATATATTAACACCTTATTACAAAATTAAATTAAGTCTTCTATATTTCTTCTATTCCTTGCAGCGAACAAATCAATTACCTCCTCGGTGTCGATGTCAATTCTGCGGTGGGTTGACATTAACACCGAACCGTTTAGGCTTTCCTGGCCTGTGGAGTTTCTCAAATAAGTTTTGAGGTGCTTCCGAGAAGAGAAAGTCCTCTCAGGAGTACATGTACAAACAGGCAGGGTTGCCAAGATCTTTAAAAGTTTGTGAATATTTGGAAATAAGGCCTGGTTGCATTCTCCGAGAGCTTCAATAGTGTGCTATTGTTAGTCGATCCAGTTCAGATTCTTCCACCCATTTTATCCGCCACATGTCTAATTCAGCTTTTACAAAGTCCCATTCCAAATATTTTCCATAGAGCTTAAAGTATTTTCCTTGATAATTTTGATTAATTTGTTCTTTGCAACACAGAGGCGTAATTAAAATGTTGAGAGATGATAATGTGGCTTTATGATTTTGGAATCTCGACTGAAGCTAATCAATGAAATCATCCAAAACTGGAATCATTATAGTAATTCTAAAATAAGTTTCAGGATCTTTGTGTTGTAGTTTGCCATAGGGCATAACTTTTCAAGAATGCATAACGTTACACCAAGAGCCTATGCTCTTGACGTGACGTTATGCATTCTTGAAAAGTTCAGCAAGTATAGAAACAATATTTTGACAAACATATTTAATAGTCTTAATAATTAAATCGACATGTTGTAAAGCTGCCGCCGAATCGCATAGGGAGTTTGAAGTATTTTGCATAGTGTCAGTGTGTACGGGAACAACATTCCTAAGAAAAATAAGCTTATAACAAAATCATTTGCAAATACTGATCTCAGAAAAGAATTAGCCTTTAACGATTATTCAGAATCCATGTCAGTGCTTATGTCGTCTAGTGTATCAAAAATAGCTTTATAAATTTCTTTAAATCTTAACAACCTATCATGATTTTTCACCCAGGGGGTCTCGCACATTGCCGCAAGGTTTTTCCATTGTGTTTCAGGGAAGTTTTTTTCGATATTACCCTTTAAACACTTGGTACGTTTTTCCCAGGACTTGATAACATTTCCAACCGATTATATAATTCTAATAGTATTTCAAATAGACTGAACCTGGCAAGAATGACCCAGAGCCGAATTCAATGAATGTGAGCTGTGATGAACGTATAAGGCTTCTGGATGTGACTCGCGAATTACTGGCTCCTTACTATCATATCCTTGTCCGTCATCATCAGTAGTTTCGTCAACAAGGGTTGAAAAAAAAATTCGCAGAATTTAACCCTTGCACAATTTTTTTTCTTTGATTATTTCACCACAAATTGCAATAATTCAAAGTTTGAAAAGCCCTGAAAATGAATTATCTTTCAAGACTAAGGCTCATAGTATATTTCATAATACCAATTTATATGTGGTAGAGCTACCCTGCAGCTATATTATGGTTGCAGTACGAATAGGTCTGTTCGATCGACACAGAATACCTGCGTAAAATTGCAGCTTAATGCTGCTGTCTTTCGAATCATAAATGTAGGGCACCGGAGACCCTTTTTACTACAAACGAGGTATTCCAAGATGGAATAAATGGATGAAAAGTCCTCAAGGGTGACAACGCATCTGTATTTTGATTTTTAATCGAGGATAAATGTATGTGTCTATGGGCCACGGCTTCCACTTACCATCAGGTGGACTGTGTGCTCATTTGTTACCCTAATTCTATAAACAATATACTTTATATAAAACCTTTTTTTTTCAGACCGCGAATGTCCAGAATTAGAGCAGCCAGAAATAGGAAAGGTGGTCGTGTCTGGACGTCTGTTCGGAAACAAGTGAGTGATTATATTTTAACCGCTTTGTTAAATAGTGGTTCTTACTCTTCCTTTGGGTTTTTTCGTTTAGTTTATACTGTAGACTGTTATATCCTCTCAATAAAACATTTAGGCAAGGTGTTCCGCCAGGGGAGCGACCAAAGCTCAGAGTGGTAGTTCAGAGCTATTTTATATATACTGTTTTCACTTCGGAACTTTGATAGCGCGTTTCGCTTGTGGCGCGACGACAGCGCCCCCACCACACACTCATCATCACCATCATCATCACTATCATCGTCACCATCACCAGCCTGTAAAAGTGCACTGCTAGATTATGTGGCTCTCTCGTCGTAGGGAATAGTTACGTTACCCGTCAACTTGAGAAGCAAGTTGTCGAGCGCAGAACAAGAATTCTCACACCTTTTATAGTGTTGTAATATAACAACTAACGACCACACAGCCCGAATAGACGCCTAAGGTATGTATTTCTGCATCCAAACCTGTCTGTCAAAAGTCTGAGTCTGAGTAAGCGGTACGGGGAAGGCGGGTTGAAATGCACGCTAATTGGTCAAAATCAAGGTTGCGACACTTGCTAATAAGCAAATAGTATTGGGAACTTTAACTAATAAATTTGGTAACAAGTCTACTTAATCAGTACTAGAATTATATTCTACTATAAATTAGTACAAAATAAAAATAACAAAAGAATTTTTTATTTAAGTAGGTATCGTATTTAGTAAAATACCTAAAATTTTTTGTTTTAAAGAATATTTTTTATTACAACAAGCTTTCTTTACAATATTTAAATAATAATAGAATACTATTAAAAATAAAATAGCAATAGTTATTTAAACTGTCAAGATCACTTCCGTTTCCTACTTGTCTTGACATGGCGACTTAGCAGTAATGAGAGCGGAGTGCCGTCTATTAAAAATTATATCAATTTTATTATGAATTATTTTTAAGAAGTTTTGATTAATTTGATTTAATTATTAAATCAATTAATTCAAATATGGATTAACGTACATTCACTAAAAAATTCAGCTTACACCTGTCGCTTATAGTATAAGTCTGTAAAACATTCACGATAACATGCATAATATTTACTTGTACCAATATTACAGTTTAACTGGTACAACACTAGTTACTCGTGCCGGTAATTAAAGAAAAGTATAGCAACAATGAACTGCATTGAAAAGAAAGGGATGCATAGTCCGAAAATATCCGAAGCTCTGATTTAATTTTAAATCAATGAGTTTCGAAATTAAAATTCACTTATCTATGAAAAGTGATGCCATTTTTTTAAATTACACATTTGGCTACTATTTCCGCACTATTTTATTGTACAGGGAACCTTGTTGCGCGTCTGTTGTATTATATTTTGTCGAAAATTCACGAGTCACATGCAAGATGTTCACGGGTCAGGGAAGTGGTCGCTACTAAAGTGGATCGCGCGATCGTTTTCTTAAGTTGTGGCGGGTGATATTTAAAATAAGGCAACAACCAGTCATAAAAAAAAATTATATATTGGTAAAAGAAAAGGTCGTGGGCGTGGTTCCGATAATTTAAAAAAAGTGCCCGTCTGGCTTCACTGGCAGGGTCAGGTACTCCCCCTATGTGGCCGCGAGGTGGTCGAGCAGGGCCGGGGGGGTTGGACTGTTCACGGGGAGCGCCGTGGGCAGCTGGCTGTGGCGGTGGCGGCGTCGAGGGGAGGCCTAGGCCCTCTTAAGAAGGACGACCGCCACGGTTGTAATCGTAAAATTGCACCCTGGAAACAACGTCGTCCACATTTAGGTCCAGGTAATAAAATGCCGCCGATTATGAACCCCCGGTATATCGCAGGCTAGCAGTAGATGGGAGCACAGAGAGTAGCTGGCGAGTGTTCATAATCAGAACGGAGTTACAAGGCGGAATGGAAGGCAAGCGTCATAGCGGTGAGGCGCAAATTAAAATACACATGAATTAAAATTACGGCAAGTGTAAAATACTGTTTAAATGTACCAGGATAACTAATTTAGGCTGTGCATTGGTTGAAACATGATGGTGACTTGCGATATTTGATCGCGGTGCGAAATGTATGAGAGGCCATTTTGTAACGGTACTTTTGCCAACGCACACAGCGGCTACATACATTACTTACATGCAAATAACACTAATAACGTGGCAATTAAATAGCTAAAAGCAAACAGCCTGGCATGATCAAATTACACTACCTATAAAACACTTTCACTACTTAAAACTAGGTAACGTTTCAACACTTACCCTTACGGGGTGCAAGACGATACGGAGGTCTCGGTGACGAGAATTAACGAAAAAACTATACGGCCACAGTGCCGGAATTATTATAAACTTTTTCCAAAATGGGATTAAAATTTGCAAGCGCGTACGAGGACACAAAGCAGAGCTTGTGAACGCGGCTGCAGTGGTAGTGTGCGCCTCCCAGGGCGCTCGGGCGGAGAATGGTCGGGAGCGCGACGCCGTGGAATAATACCGGCCGGGTAAAACTCTGACGCGAGAGTTGCAAGGCGCATAGAGTAACGAAGCGTCAGAGTGTTTGTTCGAAATACAATATTTTAATATTTGATTTATTATTTAATTCGTTCTTTTAGTTTACTGATTTGTTTTATTAATAGGATACCTAAGTTAATTATAGAATTATTTTTGTTAATAACTTTTAATTTATTTTTATTTAGTTTATTAAATGTTTATTTAATTTTAATAAACCGTTTAATTATAATTATGCATACATGTACGTGCAACGTTACAAAGTAAGACGTATTTTTCTGATGTGTTGACAGAAAGTGTTCGCCTTTCGTGAGGCGTCTATTCGGGATGTGTAGTCGTTGATAACAATAGTCAACATTGTGGTTGCTACCCAAATAACACATCAAAGCAGTATAACGGCCGACTTACAGCATTTCTGTATGGAAACCCAAAAAGTTAGTTCTATAGTAGCATTACAAACGTTTATACAGTTACTGTAATGCTTATTTGGGCTTAAATTATACGGCTTTAGATTCAAAATAGGTTGTTTAATTGCATTACAGGCGCATTATATTAGTATTATTGTGGTCAAAGAAGGTAAAACTTGCATTAAGGAAGCATTATTATGCTCAACGAAGCTGCCAATCACATTAAAGAAGCTTGATTACGGTTAATGAAGTTGATAATCGCATTATAGAAGCATTTTACTATCAATATTATTGATAAGGAAGATGTTAATTGCTTTACAAAAGCATTAGATTAGCATCAGAGTGTAGTAAAATAATGAATGGACCTATTTAAGTGTTTATACTTAGAACTTAAATAAATCCTACGTCATTGCAAAAACATTTCTATTACGCGGTACTAAATGTTATGATACAATCAACGTTGTAATTTAACTACTTAATTTGTCTCGCAATATAATATATGGTCGAAGGAAGGCGGTCAGAACTGTTTGAGTGACACGACCATATTTATTAGCATCAAACAATATTTTTAAAGTTTTTGACTCTGTTGTTATGTTATGTAGTTTACTGTAATGTCTATAAAAATTAAATTAAAATTTTCACGCACCTTCGATAATTTTTGGTTTTGATAAAAAATTTTGCTTTTCCCCACAATATGACCGACATATAGTTTCACAAATACTGTAAAATAAGTTTATATACAGCTTTATGTATGTGATTATATTTATGCTTGAGAGACAGTATGCTTGAGAGACAGTTAAAAGTACATATTAAGTTAAACGATGCACAATTTGGTTTTAGACCAAATCTATCAACTGAGTGTGCAATACTGTCGCTGAAGCACTCTGTGGGGTGTTACACTGCAAGGAATACGCCAGTGTACGCAGCCTTCCTGGACTAAGCGACCTTGTCAGGTATGACATTCTGTGGGATAAATTGCGAAAGGCTGGTCTACCCGTCTCGTACACTAGTATTTTTAGCTATTGGTACGGTCATCAAATTAATCAGATAAGGTGGTCTAGTGCACTGTCGGACGAGTACAGATTGCAATGTGGTGTGAGACAAGGGGGATTAACCTCACCTACGCTTTTTAATTTATATATAAATGAACTTATTGATAGACTCGGGAGTGCACGTGTCGGCTACTCTATTGATGGACTCTGCATGAACAACATCAGTTACGCAGACGACATGGTGCTTCAGAGCCCGTCAGTCAGTGCACTCAGACGGCTTTTGTTCATATGTGACCTTTATGCAGAAGCCCACGGTGTAAAATATAATGTTGTGAAGAGTGAGCTCATGGTGTTTAAGGTGGGCACGAAGAAACCAAATTTCGTACCACCTGTAACTTTAGGGGGTGTTGCACTTAAACGAGTAACTGAATTTAAGTACCTAGTTGTTGCCATGTTGTTACCGAGTATTTAAAATATGATAAAGACATTGAAGGAAAAAGTAGGGCGCTGGCTGTCCGCTGCAATATGCTGGCCCGTCGGTTCTCACGCTGTACAGACGAGGTAAAAGTTATTTTATTCAAGGCCTATTGCCAATCCCTCTATACGTGTGCCTTATGGGCCAGATATACGCGGCGGGCATACAACACCTTACGCACGCAATATAATAACGCTTTTAGATTGTGGCTGGCGCTCTGGCTCGGGCTGTGGCTGGGTGTGGGGGCTGTACAACAAAATTAAGTTAATCCTTAAAAAGTCAAGCAATACATTGATTCACGTTTATGCTGTAAGGATTACTAGGCTTTTACTTACTAATTAAAAGTTCTATTACACAACAAAGGGCACTTAAACAGCTTAAAACTGTTTAAGGGATTTACGGTGCATTGTAGTGGTAAAAGTTTATGCTATTAAGCAGCATCAGGCATCATCCTACTACTTAAAATGCTTTCGTAGACTCTAAGGCACTAAAAACAGCTGAAAACTGTATAGCGGATTTACGTGGTATAATAATGGTTCATGTTTGTGCTATTAATCATCATTAAGCATTTATTTACTACTTAAAATGCTATTGTAGATCCAAATACACTAAAAGCATCTGAAAGTACAGCTGTGTTGTGGT